ATTGGAGTCTTCGAACACTCTTCAAGGGCAGCCCCATGTAGAGCGCATTACAATAATAAGTAAACATCTAACTTTCAAATTTGGGAGATAACTTTGCAGGTTCTTTTAAAATACCTTTTCATGATGCAGCACCATTTGTAAAAGGGCAGGACAGCATCTGCCTTATCTCCCTTCACGACTATGAGTAGCAATGGAACTCTTAAATAGTATATGATGGCACTTGTAATTACTTTTTTGCACTCTATTTACAGGTGTGTGAAGCATAAAGGACGAAACAAAGATGGTGCGGCTATGGCAATATTCTCATTTACCCTAATTTATTCCATGACAGATGCTCAGCAATGTTTATCAACAACTCTAGAGTTACAGTCTAAAATTGTAGTTTTTCAGGCCTGGTTAATATACATTACCATGTTAATTACCAACACGCCATAAAGCATTAAATGATAAACAACCATAGGGTCAGGGATTCTTTTACCTGCAGAATCATCCGGGGTCCATGGTAGATTACGAGCAGGTTTTTCTGAGGTTGGTCCCGAGGTAGTGATCATTCTCACACTAGGACTAGAGGATCTACTGCTGTTTCTGCTATTCTGTAGCGATAATTAAAAATAAACAAACTCTTACTATTAACGCAAGCAAATGACAATACTATAAATACAAAGTTCTTCTACGGATTAATTAATCACAGAAAGATTTTGTCATCTTTATCTCACCTAAAAGCAAAACCAAATGCTGTGGTCCAATGCAGACATTTCAGTGACCTTCTATTAGAACTTCTGCCCACTATAGCTATGCTTTGTTGCATCTTAAAAACTGTATTATATAGTTTAATAAGTACCAAAATGGGAGAAGGGAAAACCAATTCAGGAGGTTTATTACAGCCTGCTTTCTAGTTTACAAAGAAATTGAGCAAGAGGGTACACAGTACATAAAATCAAATAAGGAGAAGAAGTGAGTAGAAATTTCTCTCTCTCTTTTATCTGACTCCTAAAAATATGTTTATTCGTGGAAATTAAATGCAGAGGGATTCAGGACCAATACATGGAACAACTTTTAAAAAATGCTTAACTTTTTGAACTTGCTCCCATCAGGTATGTTGATGGCTACTAGTTTTGAAAGGGACTAGAAAAATTCATGAAAGAATTAGAGCTGTGGTGATGCAATGGTTAGTGGTTAGTGATTTCTACTGCAATTTTTTAATTATTCTTGATTTGCTAAATCAAGATATCAGGATTTTGTGTGTAAATATATGTACACTGACAGTCTCCTATCTCAAATTTAATCCCTACTCATCATGAAATTACAAAGATCACATCGACATATAACTGCATATAAACCCTGCATTCACACTTTAAAAATCACCATTTAAAAATGTTACCAAAAGCCTAAGTTATGTATAAAAACAAACTGTTTATAATAGCAGTTTTACCCTTCTTCCTTCAGTGCTTTCACTTTCAACCATCAACTAATACAAATGAGATACTCTGTATCTGTACACATTCATGTAAGTAATATCATTTTGTAACATTTTAGATTATTTCTTGTTTCCCTTAACCACTAAGTCCTAGTAACTTTTTCAATATACATCAGTGCTTAGTATTTAGCAGTAAAGAAACGCAACTGTGAAATTAATCAAAGTTGTAGTTCTAAGCATCCTTATTTGACACAAGCCTCACTGAACATATTTGCATATATTTCCAAGAGAGGAAGAGTAAAACTTTACTGAACCCAAGAAATACATAGTTCATAACAGTTTGATAACCATACCTGGGATTTCCAATGTGTAAATCATGTCTTTTAAATGTAATTTACCTAGAACTAACTCTTATATATCTTTCAATGGCTTATTTTTCAGAATTATAAGCTTGTAAAGGCCAAGCTGAGAGAAAAATGATTACATATTTGTTTTTGTTAATTTAAATGGACTTCTTATAAAGGAAAAAAAGATTTCATCATTTACATTATGTATTCCCAATCCTAGTTTTCATTAGATATATTTATATATTCCAATTTTTAGATATTCAATTTGATAGGTGACATACAATTCTTAAATTTATAAAATTCAGGCAATTTTAAAATGAATCGTCCACATTGTGCATTTACCTGGTTGGAATCTGTTCCAGCTATACTAAGATCTTGAATGGATCTGCGCCTCTGTTGTCCGTTGCCTACTAGAATGAGAAGGAAAAAGAAACTACTGAATTTACATCAAATAAGAATGTTGCAAGAGTTTGTACAAATCCAGCAAAGAGATAAAGAGTCTGTTTGTATATAGGAAGGAGAGGGGAGAGCAGAGACAGCTGCCACACCCACCCACCCAGCTTGTCAACAGAAAGCATATCCTAAGGCAATAAATCTTCCTGTCCCATGAATAGCGTCTGAGCTTTTTTTCACCATCTTCTGTCAGTTGTGCTTTAATAGGCTTAAGAGTTGGATGGGCAAGTGTGGGGGTGGCTTTGGCACTGATGATGACATCTATTTCAAGGAAGTTACCTTATGGGGATTTCTCATGTAAGGTTGCCAGTTATATAGTTTATTTGGTTAATCAATGAAAAATTGCAGCTTCAAAAATGGTTTAACTAGGTTCAACTAGTGGTGTTCCTAGATTTCTTATTTGAGAAAGAATCCACTGCACTGATTGGATCCAATGCAGAAAGAAATAGTTCTTCAAGTCTGCACTAAAGTTTTAAAAAGCTAACTTGCTTTTAGTCACAGTTCTGAATATTATCAAATGTATTAAAAAATGGTCAACATATCCAATAAAAAAAATATGATGATTGACAAGGCAAAGAAAAAATTTATCTGGCTTTTGGTATTATAATTGTCTTTGTTCTTGGGATGTGGTATCAGCTGTCCAAAAGGAAAACATCCCAAAGTTGCAATTAACAGCTGACATAACACTCTAGAAACATAGTCTTTGAAGACTGTGTTACATGAACAGACTAGTAGCAACTATTCTAGCAAGGAATTGAATTATGGCTATCATTTGCATGATTTCCCAATGTCCCCCATACAGTTTTTCACAATGTCCGATTTCCTTTTGCTTTACTGAAAGATATTTTTAAAAATATTCTAACTTCTAAAATATGTAAAAAACATTTTACATTTAAAAATCTATTAAGAGCTTACTTTTTAAACTCACCTATAAATATATCTGTGTAGGTATTTTTTTTAATTCAAATCAAACATTAAATGAGATGAAGAGAATGGAAGCTTGAGTACCATAACCAATTAAATCTCTTTTTAAAAAATAAACAGTATGTTGCTTAATATTTTGGAAGTTGTCCAATAGATGCAAGAGTAGAAAAATACATTTGTCCCTTTCTTATCCTCCTATCTCTTTGCCCTTTTAAAAATCTTTCCAGGTCAAGATGAAGTTTCGCAGTTTTGTTCCTGTTATATGAACCATTAATTCAAGGTGGGAATACTCTTAAATCAGGTAATTTTAGTAAAGGTTCCTACGCACATGCGTGCTAGTCATTTCCGGTTCTAGGGGTGGTACTCATCTCTGTTTCTAAGCCGAAGAGTCAATGCTGTCCGAAGACGTCTCTGTGGTCATGTGGCTGACATGACTAAATGCCAAAGGCGCATGGAACTGTTATCTTCCCACCAAAGTGGTCTTTATTTTTTTACTTGTATTTTTTACGTGCTTTTGAACTGCTAGGTTAGCAGAAGCTGGGACAAGTAACAGGAGCTCCCTCTGTTGCGCTGTGTTAGGGATTTGAACTGCTGAACTAGCGACCTTCTGATCAAAAGCTCAGCATCTTAGCCACTGAGCCACCACGTCCCATTTCACGTAATTTTAGGGTAATACTAATATGACTACTTCTGTATTAGAAGCACCAAAGTACTTCCATGACAAAAGGATTTGTTGGTGACATCACCATTGCCCAGGGAGATCAGTAGTTGAACGCCCCCATGAAATTTCCCCATTAAAGTGGCATTCATGTATCTACTTGCAGTTGCCCACTTTTGAACTCCTGGTTTGGTAGGAGCTGGAGTATGTGACAGGAGCTCACCCCACCCCAGTGCAGCATCGGATCCTTAACGTGATACT